GGAAGTGTTCTTACAGAGGAACGGTAGGTGCGGCGCTGAGATCCGAAAAACGGATTGGGATGGCCAAGGATGCGTTCCAAAAGCTGGGCGGAGTACTGCGAAACAGGAAGATGTCTATGGTGACAAAGAAAAGAGTACTGAGCTGCTACGTGACATCTGTCTTCTTATACAGTAGCGAATGTTGGGTGGTATCCTGAAGAAGAGACTCGAGACGGCGGAGATGTGGTTCTACAGAATGATGCTGAAGATATCATGGACCGAACATATGACCAACGATAAGATCTTGAAGAGGATTCAAACAAGGATGAAGCTTATGCTAAACATAAGGAAGAGGTAGGTGAAATTTCTGGGACACGTGATGAGTAAAGAGGGCCTGGAGAATCTGATACTCACGGGACGAATTGAGGGAAAAAGAGACAGGGGAAAGCAACGCATGACATACGTGTCAGGCTTGGGCAGGTGGATGGCGGAGTGTGGTCTGGGGGAGTTGACAGAAACACAAAACTAGTTGAGAGCCACAAGGAAGTGAAGGGCCATGATCACCTACGTCCTGAAAGGACACGGCACATAAAAAGAAGTTGCTTACACGCGTAGACGAAGGCAAAGGGCAAAAATAACTCCGTCAAAGCGAACCCTGTGACGTTTGTATCGACTCACAAACTAAAGAGGGTGAAAAAGAAGATTATGCCGCACGGTTGGAATCCCCGGGACGAGGCTTCTTTTCCTCACATTCCGTGAATTCTTCTAAGAGAGAACAGATACTATAATTTGACCCTAGTTCAAAATCTGGAAAAAGAAGAAAATTTCCCCATTTCCCCAAGTTGTTAGGATGTAACACATGATCGGTTTAATGTGGAGCATCGTATATAGAGGCTTAAGACAAAAATTGAACAGATTCTACAGTTTGATCCAACCCAAAAGCCGGGCTTATTGACTCGACTCCTCGCGGTGGCAAGATGTAACAGGAAGTTGTTTTTAATTTGAAGTTGCAATAGACTTAGCCAAAATTTACCCGCTCCCCCGAGAAGACTGTCATACCAGCGTCCGTATTCCACCGATATTACCTTTTTAAATGATTGAGGTACTGGTGTTGGATTAGAATCGCTTTAACCAAATCGCTTTCCGTGAACCGCCAGAAAACAGAAAAGAGTACAGATACTTCACTTTGATCCCAGTCCGAAGGCCGGGTTAAGGAATGCTGATTCATTGCCTACGTAAGAAAATACAAGTCGAGGAAATTTGTTGCGAGATACCGCGTCAGCTGCTCCTAATTAGTTAAAATATTATACTTGAGGTTGCATTTAATAGTGAACTATTTTCAAAATTACAGCCGGGAACTGTCCCTGGTCATGCATCCCAGTGCAATGAAGAGGTGCTGTATTTGAAGACGAATCTCTGGATAGATACGCCAGTTCATAATTGATTTCTTGTACCGAAAGCCTGGAACACTGGCCGAATGTAATATGGATATGCAAAGCAATGAGTAAAAAAATGGACGAATGTCACGTGATCTCTACTGATGTTTTTTTTTCGTTGGTACGATTGGGTGTCTCTCGTTTCTCCTGTGTGCTACTTACACGTTCTGATTGGAACTGGTGTCGCTAAAAAGCCGTCTCGACCAAACAACTGAAGATGCACCTATTACTTTTACTAGTAGTAGTACCACAAATATTACGACTTCTATAACTAACAGCGGCTGGTAAGTAAGCCATTCCAGCAATGGCGTCTACTAACAGCTGAATAACGAGTATTACTACTATTACTTTTTATGGTGCTGTTGCAAGTAACACAGCTAATAATATGCCTAGGTATTGAACCAGTGCCTGCTGTATGGGTTATCTCCTTTTGTTTTTACAGTTAATCTTGGACAGGAACGTCATCATGTAGTTGGCACTATTGCTGACATAATAATTTTAATTTTATTAAAATATTGCATATAAGTCCCTAAATATCTGGTGATTGTAGTTTGCTATAATGTGACAGCAAGTCTTAAACGTATCCATGCTGATTCTAACATTGCTGTGATCTGAGAAATCCTTGTTTTTTCTCGAAGCTCCTGTTTCTCCAATGTTAACTCAACGTGTTTCCGGAACAGTAGATTATGCAAACCTTAAGCCTTATTTGTCAAAATCTCTTTACTTTCCGTGTAAAGTATTTGGATTATTTTACCATGACCCATTATACACGGTTTTAGTTAACCGCGGAGAAGTCCAGAAATAAAGAATTCATATATTTTAATGGATAATTATCTCAAAAAGGAGATTTTATTTGATGATTGTCGTATAGCGCAGGTTTTACTTGATAAATCTCTCAAAGCACAGGCTTAACTTGATAACTGTCTCAATGTGTAGGCTTTAATTGATAATTGCCTCAAATCACAAGTGTCACTTGATAAGTGTCTCAAAACGCAAACTTTACAAGACATTTGTCTCAAAGCACAGTTTTTATTTGATAATTGCCTCAAACAGCAGGTTTTTTTGATAATTGTCTCAAAGCACAAGATTTAATTGATAATTGTCATTAAGACAAGGTTTTAATTGATAATTGCCTCAAACAGCAAGTTTTTTTGATAATTGTCTCAAAGCACAAGTTTTAATTGATAATTGCATCATAGAGCAGGTTTTTTGATAATTGTCTCAAAGAGCATTAAGACAAGGTTTTAATTGATAATTGCCTCAAAAAGCAGGTTTTTTTGATAATTGTCTCAAAGCACATGTTTTAATTGATAATTGCCATTAAGACAAGGTTTTAATTGATAATTGCCTCAAAGAGCAGCTTTTTTAAAGTTTTAATTAATAATTGCCTCAACGATCAGGTTTTAATTAGCAACTATTTCAAAGCGCAGGTTTCATTTGATAATTCTCTAAAAGCGTAAGTTTTACTTGATATTTGTCTCATAGTGCAGGTTTTAATTGATAATTGTTTCAAAGCAGAGTTTTTACTTAAAAATCATGTCCCAAAATAGGTCGGAATGTCGTTTCTTTGAATGAAAGGATATATGGATGCTGAAAGGTTCTCCGTCCGACTCACTTCCCCAAATATGACTGAAATATCAACCATCTTTTAGGCGCCCAAGGTCCTTTCATGACCAAGAATGGATTTCATGATGATTTCTGATATTTGCTAATTTAGTCAGATTTTTGGAGGTAAATCTGAGAACTTTTCTGAACCCATCTTGTGTGTGTGTGTGCATATATATATATATATATATATATATATATATATATGGTGGGCTCTCCCGCTGTATTCGACGTATGAGGAATCGACAGTCCAGACACCAGCACATATGATTTGATTATAGTGGTGAAGGACCAACCCCACTATTTGAAGGGCCGAATACAGAGACCTGATGCACTACGTGCCACAAGGTCCCCAAACGATCCTCCGCAGGTTTTGAATTCAGAGTTGTCTTTCTCCTAGACCAGTTGCCATCCAAGGCTATAGAACCCTGTCTGTCCTGCTATTTACCCATAATTGGAGGGAGAAGAAGAGGATTCTTAACTTTCCCAAAACGTAAATGAATGTAATGGATTCGACTGGAATTCGAACTCGCCTCTCCGAATCCTCAATCCCATATATATATATATATATATATATATATATATATATATATATATATATATATATATATATACGCAAGTATAGGATTGGTATATACGAATTAAATTCCAATAACACAAAAATACTATTCTTAAAAAGAGTGTTCAATACAGAGTAGAGCAAATATAATCTAGTCTAAAATTATAACAAACCTTTATTCTACATTCGACACCATCACTTGATAAGACATCAGAAGTGTTGAAACAAAATGGCTGTCTTTGTAGTGATTTTATAACATATTTATGTTATAATTTTCGAACAAATGATATACATACATATATATATATATATATATATATATATATATATATCAAGAAAAGATAGAATAATAAAAAATCACCCGTCTCACCACCAATCAATGCTACTTCACATTTAATAATGATTGTTATAAACAAATATTTGGATTACTAATGGGATCACCTCTCAGTGAAATGTTGGCAGGTATCTTCTTAGAATTTCTCGAATCCGGTCCAAACAATCAAGATACTTCCGTTATATTGATCCTCTAATATATATCCTCATGATACTGATTTACCTGACTATATTGTGCACACCAGCTGGGGAAAGGTTGTCAAAATCAATTCACAGAAAAACGAGAAATCCCTAATTTCACTATCATGCTATAAGCCTGGTTCGGGGTGTTCTGCCGAAATATTGTTAAGCATTGTTAAACACTGTCTTTACTTTTAAATCGCGTTCTTCTCTCAGTGCTGTAATAATAATAATAATAATAATAATAATAATAATAATAATAAGAAGAAGAAGAAGAAGAAGAAGACCATTTCCAAATTTGGCGCAGATAGAACTATTTCAAATAACACTAGAAATAATAGTTGGGTAATTTGAGATTGGAAGAAGAGAGAGTCTCTTCGCATAACGTTGAACTGGGTTTTTTAAATGATACTAGGAAGGGTGCTGGAGATTTGAAAATATTTGTTCTCTTTCAAAAGCAACTAGTTTGACAATAAAAGAGACATGAATAATAATAATAATAATAATAATAATAATACTTAAAGAAATACAAAAAATAAGCCTTAAAAAATTGTCCTCACGAGTACAGCCCACACGATTACGTAGGGCTTTATCTATGTAAAATAAGAGTTTGTTTTTATTTTTAGTTGGTCAGTGGAAAATGTCATGATGCCATTTCTAACCTTGGGTCTCTGGGCGGGACACGGAAAGAAATGTGTACACACCAAAAATCAAAGGAACTACTACTACTACTACTACTACTACTAATAATAATAATAATAATAAAGAGTAGGAAAAGCAAGAAATCAGGGGAAGAATGGATATCATCCAGTCAACAACATTTTTTAAAACAACTAATAGCAAGGAGATATGTCGACAGGATTAGTTTCAGTTGGTATGTTTTGTTTGACGGGATATCAACATTTACCATGTTTTTGAATATCGAGGTTTGCCGTCATGAAATAGACATGGATTTGATTTACACGGGAAGCAAAATTATAGATAGAGGTATTGTTTTCCAGGAATTCGAAAATAAAGACAAAGGTTTGGTTTTAGCGCGAGTCAAAAAGAAAACAGACGAGATTTGGTTTACGCGAGAGTCAAAAAGTTAAACCCAGGAGGGTTCTTTCTTTCTACGCTCCTTTGTGCACTTGAATTTTCTCTCGCTTTCTATTTCTTTCTTTCTTTCTTTCTTTCTTTCTTTCTTTCTTTCTTTCTTTCTTTTTACGCTCTTTTGTGTACTTCAGCTTCTTCATTCCTTTCTTTCTTCCTTTCTTTCTTTCTTTCTTTCTTTCTATTTTCTTTCTTTCTTTCTTTCTTTCTTTCTTTCTTTCTTTCTTTCTACGCTCCTCTGTGTACTTAAGTTTTCTCTCACTCTCTATTTCTTTCTTTCTTTCTTTCTTTCTTTTTACGCTCTTTTTTTGTACTTCAGCTTCTTTCTTCTTTCTTTTCTTTCTTTTTTCTTTCTTTCTACGTTCTTTTGTGTAATTCAGCTTCTTTTTTTCTACGTTTCTTTCTTTCTATTTTCTTTTGTGTATTTCAGTTTCTTTCTTTCTTCCTTCCTTCCTTCCTTTCTTTCTTTCTTTCTTTCTTTCTACGCTCTTTTGTGCACTTCAGTTTCTTTCTTTCTACGCTCTTTTGTGTACTTCAATTTCTTTCTTTCTGCCTTTCTTCCTTTTTATGTTTTTTGTGTACTTCACTGTCTCATTTTCTTTCTTTCTTGCTTTCTTTCTTTCTTTCTTTCTTTCTTTCTTTCTACGCTCTTTTGTGTACTTAGTTCCTTTCTCTTTTCTACGCTTTTTTGTTACTTCACTTTCTCACATTCTATTCTATTCTTTCTTTCTTTCTTTCTTTCTTTCTTTCTTTCTTTCTTTCTTTCTTTCTAAAATCCGACTTCTTTCTTCATTCCTTTCATCTTTCTGTACTCCGTTTTCTTTCTTTCTTACGGCGTACTTTTGTGCAATCTACATTTTTCTTTGTTTTTTCTTTCTTTCCTGAATAATAAATAAACGTTCTAAACTGTTCGCTTGTTGATTTTTTGTCTAGTGTTAAATTGAAAAAACAAAAATCATTTAGCAGCAAATACGTTAGCATTGCTTTGAAGGAAAATCTTATTTTTTTTTACTATCGGCACTCCTTTGAAAAGTGATCGACACATGACCTCCATTTTCAGATTCACAGCTGTTACAAAATGGTGTCAAACATATAGTGACGCCATTATGTACACTAACTTCCCCTCCTACCATGAAAGATTCTTGAAACGAGAAAATCGATAAATTGCCTGCATTTTAAAGGCAATTTTTTTATTTCATTTGACAGTGAGAAATAGACTACTACTTATTTCAACTACTTTTTTTAAATAGTCACCTGAATTAAGCAAGTCGCTGTTCAAAATATAAGACTTAAATTAGTCGATAGAAGTACTACTACTACTAATAATAATAATAATGATAATAAATCATTTCTTATATTGTCTTTATTATTCAGACTTATATGGTTAGTCTCAGGAGTACATAGTCCCCAGGCAATAGCTTCCGTTAGATGTAGGGTTAAGTTTAATTCCAGTATTCTGAGACAGGCCCAAAGAAGGTATTAAACTATTTTGGGCCTCTGGTCTCATATACGCGGGTGACATACATTTTAAATTCGCCTATGTGTCACATCTCGTTCGAGTGGGTGCACAAATAAATCTCATTATTAAGTTCAATTTCAAGGTACCATTTCCCTAGCCCCATGCATTCGAGTGACTCGTTACTTTGCATCCAGCTTTTTTTTTAATATCCCATTCGAGTCGTAGCACGATAAATCCGAAATTTTTTATTCATGTTTACAATTAGGATAATTATGTCCACCTTCGCGGGTGGGATTTCCTAGACAGAACCTCGAAAGAGGGGGTAGGGATAGATCTAAGCAAAAACACCAGAAGCATCCTAACATGGAAAAGTCGAAGGAGCTGGATAATTTTTGTCTCTTACGCGTTAGATTTCCACATTAAACTCGGCATTGCACTGCATTTTCTTCGAATCAACGTGCATCTATTTTATAGGCTTTGTCTATTTTAATACTAAACCCCAGGGTGCTTTTTGCCCACGTTAGATATCATCTCTCCAAATGTACTCAGATTGGTAAGATCACGTTCAATCTCTGATATCTTAGGCGTTGCAATGACAATATGCCGAGTCAGAGCACTGATAAATCTAAATTATATCCATCTTCTGGGGTGGAATTCACTCAGCAGAACCTCGAAAGAGGGGGGAGGGCTAGATCTAAGCGAAAACACCAGAGGCATCCTAAGATGGAAAAGCCAAAGAAGCTGGGTAATTTTTGTTCTTTATCGAATTTATACGTTGGATTTACACATTAAACTCGGCTTTGTGCCATATTCCCTTCGAGTAGACGTGCAGGTATATATCAAATTTTATAGGCTTTTTCTTTCTAATCCGAAGCCCTAGGGTGCTTTTTGCCCACGTTGGATATCATTTCTCCAAATGTACTCAGATTGATAAGATGGTGTTCAATCTGATATCTTAGGCTCTGCAGTGGCGATGTTCCGAGGGAGCTGATTATTTGGGTCCCTAATCCCATCTATACACATTTTCTCAATTATAAAACCATTCTTAACTGACAGATCCCTGAAGGCAGTTATTAACAGCCAGTCCCCCGAGGGCCCGGCGGTTAACAACGAGCGTTTCCCAGGGTCCACTTCTCGGACCAAACCTCTTTTTGATTTACATAAATGACCTTCCTAAGAATATACTAAGAATCATTTATAGACATCCATGACGTCATCATCGTCATGGATGTCTATAAATGATTCTAAAATTTTGTTTTTATATTCGGAGTTATATTTTCCAATTTCTTTTTGAACTTGTAGGTCAGATGAATTGGATCGTAATTACGATTCCAATGTAATAAATTAAAACCATGGAATATTAGTGTTTGAGCATGTTTATATATATATATATATATATATATATATATATATATGTATTGGATTTCCACATTAAACTTGTCTTAACACAATATTCACCATTTCTCCGCTATATGGAATACTGTTGCCATATATGGTGTGGTTCTCCCGTTTTTTTATTTCGAGGTTCTTGACAAAATCAAAAATCCAAAGATGGATATGCAATGCGATCCGTCCTGACATGGTATCTCGACTGCAGTCACTTTCTCACAGATTTGATGTGGCTTCCCTCTGTCTTTTCTACAAATATTTTCATACCAACTGTTCTGACCCTTTCACTGTCGAAACTGTTAAATGTAACCGCCTCTTCTACTCCAACAGCTTCTTCTCTCACATTTTCTGGCATTGGAACTACATTCCTCTTACTTGGTTTCCTGATAAATCTTCAAAAATTTAAGTGTAATGTCTATCGACATCTTCTGATGCCTTTATTCCCGTTCTTCTTTTTATCTTATCCTCACCTCCCTCATACCCAACCTTTTTTTTTTTTTTTTTACTTTCACTCTCTATAATCCCTTGCATACACTCCCACCTTGCTTGAGGTGAAATGCTTATAAAAAAATAACTAGATGTGCGAGTACATATCAAATTTTATACGCGTGTTTGTTTTTTTTAATGCACACCTCCAGAGTGCTTTTGCCTCCGCTAGGGTATCGCCTCACCAAAAGTAAGATTTTTTTCTGATCTCTTAGGCGTTTCAGTAGAAAAGTACCGAGAGAGCTGAGCAATTTTTGTCTTCAGTTCAATGTACGTGTGGGAATCTCACTTTAACATTGGCCTTGTGCCATATTCTGTTCGAATAGGCGATAGATAAATACCACACCGTATTTTTATACGCGTTTTTTTTTTTTTTGTTAATGTTCATTTTCAGTGGCCATTACCCTCACTCGACATCATATCTCTCACTGAATTCAGTTTGAGGGTCATGGATATGCGTGGGAATCCCATTTTTAATTTCTGATTGTGCTATATTCAGTTAGGGTGAGCGTACGGATAGATACCCAATTGAATTCATTTGAGGTCACAGTTTTAGGTAATATTCGTGCACGGGCGCATAAGCATTCAGCTTTACATATATGCTGATAATGTTCAGAATTTCGAGTTAACACACGCGCAAACATTGAGCTTTATATATTAGATGTCAATGTTCAAATATTTTGCGGTTCCCACGGAACAGTAACAGGTTATGGCAGGATAATAGCCTCTTTTGACCCAGCCAAGGATTTTCTCATTCATTTTTTATTTTTTTTATTGTGGTATCTTAATTTTTATTTTATGAATACTCTATACTTTTCTTTCAACTTTACCATCATTTTTCTTTTTATTTTATTCACAAGTCCGCTCATATTACGATTTCGTTCCAACCCTTTCGTCTTTCGTGACTTTAACTTCCCGTTCCCTAACTCTTTCTTAAGATACTTACATGGTCATTCTCAAATCCACCTGTTTGCGTGACTCTAATATCCAGGGTCCCTTAAATAAAGCCTTTTTAGGGGACACATCGAGTCAGGCTTTTAACATGTCACAGGCTGTTTTTAAAACATTCCCAAGTCAGGGAATGTTTGCTTGATTTATTTTTTTATTGTTTATTTCTGATTTGGTTTTGGGCATTATCTCGTTGTTTTTTTGTTTTTTTCCTTTCTTTAACTTCTTTTTTTCCGTTCGTCTCGATTCCGTCCTGGGTATGACGATAAATTACATTGGTGTCGTGGGTAAGACGATAAACTACATCCAGCAGCAAGGCCTCTGATCAGGAGGTTTTGAAGAGCGTGGAACCACCTCTTAATTGTTGGTGTTCATAGGTTCACCCTTACCCGGAGTTGTAGCACCTGTTAGGGTGCCAGCTATAGGCAGATAGTTAACTCCAAACTGGAATCAAAAACACTATGAAAGTGTAAAAATAGGTTTTAATACCAGTAATACATTTTTGTAAAAAGATATTATCAGCAATAAATTTTTGAAGAAAAAATTATTACCAGTAATACATTATTATCAGCAATACTTTTTGAAAAAAAATATTACCAGCAATACATTTTTGAAAAAATAAATATTACCAACAATAAATTGTTGAAGAAAAAAAATATTACCAGCAATACATTATTACCAACAATAGGTTTTTTGGAAAAAAATATTACCAGCAATACATCTTTGAAAAAAGAAATATTACCGACAATAAATTGTTGAAGAAAAAAAATTATTACCAGCAATACATTATTACCAACAATAGGTTTTTGGAAAAAAATATTACCAGCAATACATTTTTGAAAAAAGAAACATTACCAGCAATACGTTTTTGGGAAAAAAAATATTACAATAAAATTCTTGTCGGCATTAAATAACCCATTGATGTTGTTATGCCGTAAAACAAACCAAACCAAACCAAACCATCGTCTCGCTTCTTTCTCGATATCTGCCCTCCATTAAAAAAAATAAAAGTCTTTTTGTTTTCTTTTCTTTTTTTTCACTCATTTTTCGTTAACTTCTGCCAATTTTCTGCCATTCGTTTCTCATTTTTTTTCATTTTTTTAAAATTTTCAACATGTAAGTTACAAATTGGAGATGCCAAAATCAAACAGGTACAAGAATTTAAATTAAGAAATCACATCGTTTTACAATTGAAATGGCTAGATGTAACCGTAAGTTCTATGCTAACAGTTTCTTTTCTTGCACTTCAGGATTGTAAAACTCTCTTCCGGCTTCTCGCTTCTCACTTAACTTTGATCTTGAAAACTTTAAATGCAACGCCAATCGTCATCGTCTGTCTTTTATTGTTCTCTGTCTTTAATATTTTTTTTCACGTATTTCTGCCACATTTGTTTGTTTCTTCTGTTACATATTTAGAGATTATTGATGAAATCCTGGGACGAATCTGCAATGATATTAGTCCTCAACTTGTATCTCAGCTTCAGTCCCTTT